AATAAAGCCAACATTCCCCAAATTCTAAGAAAATAGAGCAAAATTTTAGTAGTTTATGTGGTCTCCCTATTTAAGAAAAAGACTTTTTTTCTGTCAAAACTACTGACTCACAGACATTTTCTTTCATTAGAAAACAAGTTATACACAAAGTGAGTCCTTATGCCAATCAGACAGATTTGATAATTTGGTTTAAAAAAATGGCTATACATCTTTGAGTAGAAATTAGTACAAGTATAATTTCATTTTTTATACAAGATTTAGATTCATTTTATCATGAAGAGGCTAGATTATCTGAACTCCTTAATGTCTAAGTTTACTGTAAATACATAAACTAAGACTATTTCCATAAAATTAAGAAAACTAGCTGGGTGTGGTGGTGTTGCAAGTACCATAGTTAGTTATAAAATATTATAGGCAGTGAGACAGGTTTAGGTGCTTGAAGCAGGAGACAGACACCTCCTGCTGTGGGTGGGGCCTCAGGACAAAAGGATCAAATGCATCCACATCCTAAAGGCTGATATTCTAATTAGTTCCCTATCACCCTGAAAAAGTCAGGAGTCACTATCCCATCCCCTTGGGGAAAGATCATAGCTCCAAAATCCTAGCGACAGGGAAGCTCAGGCAGGAAGATCACTATAAGTTCAAAGCCAGCCTGGGCTACATAGTGAGTTGAAGGCCAGCCTGAAATACACAGTGAAACCCTGTAAGTATACATATTTATGATATATAGCATGGTGTTTTAAAATATGCATACATTGTCAAATGGCTAAATTGAGCCAATAAGCATGCCTCACATCTTTATTATTTTTGTGACAAATATTTTTACATAAGTAGTAATTACATTTTAGTGATATGTCTGTTTGAAAAAACCATTGATAACATCTTTGGTTAAATACTTTTGGTTCTAAGTATTTCCTGAATGTGAAAGAAGCGCCCCTCAACCTCGCCAAAAAAAAAAAAACAACAGAGGCAACAGAAATTAATATAAATAGAAAATTATACAACTACTATCTATGAAGAAGTAATAAAATGTTAAAACTGTGGCAAAATTTGCACAATTTTGGTGAGTTAATTCCTAAAGCAATGAAAAACATAAAGCATGATAAACATACTAAAAATGTAAAACTAAAATTCAGCCGTGTGTATTGACAAGACAAACTGATCTTGGAAAACTTAGCCTACACTCATAAAAGGTAATCAAAGGTTATCCAGCTTCATAGTCTGCCCAGTCAGAAAGCAGAGATTTAGTATCTCATAAGAGTAATTTCTTGTGCTTTGTTATCCTTAATAGATTCTTATTTATAACAAAAGTCCTTCATTTTTTAATGATCCAAGATACTTTATTTACTAAAAATAATCTATTGTCACTTTGATTATTAAGTAGACAGACTGCAAAAACTCACTGGTCTAAGGCATTCACAGTCCTACATTATTTAAATGAAATCTGTCCCAATTAATATTTGATTTTTGTCTTTCCAAGATCATATAAATCTTAAATACAATGGAAAAAAAATTTCCAAGATACCTAACAAATCAACTAAGTTTGCATTAAAAATTTGTTGTTTAATCTTAAAATCCACTAAAAATAAATACGTTTGTTTGGTATGTTTTTTAGTTCTAAACAGCCCCACATGATCAAGAATAATCATGATATATGCATATATGGGAACGCCACAGCAAAATCCATTAATATGTTAATTTTAGAAAGGAGAACTGAATAGGGACATTTTGGAAATAAATGAGAATGTTTGGTCTTCCCTATGATAACTTTGTAGAGGTAAAATATGATAAACAATCAAAATTGTTGTGTACATACAGTACTTTTTAGAAAGCCCCTTAGTAGACGTCAGTGTCTTCACTGTAACAGGCTCTTACCCTCAAGGGAAACAAGATTAAATAAAAACAACCTGATGAAGAATCTCAGCTCTGCTTTATCCTGGCACTGTTAAATTAATAAACTATAAACCACAGCCATTTGCCCTTATACTCACCAAGTATGGTCTCAGTTCCTCTGGAGTTTGCATGAAGATGTGGCCTAAGCTATGGAATTAGATGTAACTTTACCAAAGAAATTTCTGGAACCCCAGGAAGAGGATGATAATAGGTATCTTTAACTCTTGAAATTTCAGAGAACAGACTTAAGGAAAGAGACTTCTAAAATGACTTGGCCAAGACAAGAATGAGATCATATTAGGAAGCTAAACCGAAGTTTTAAGACTGTTTTTAGTTCAGAAATCAATGACTTCATGAAATCAAGTTAATGGTTCAAGATGCAGAGGAATAAGACTTACGCTTAACTGTTTGAACTGATAATAGAAATCAAATTTCTTATGTGGATATGTTTTAGAATATTATTTGTATTATTTTGAGTGCTTTATTTATTCTTTTTTTTTTGTCTTTTTCCTTTTTTTTTTTTTTTTTGTCTTTTTTGTTTTTTATCGGTACCAGGAATCGAACTCACGACTGCCTGCTTGCAAGGCAGGCACTTATGCCACTGAGCTAAATCCCCAGCCCCGAGTGCTTTATTTTTTGACGGGGACACCCTGCAATGTTTATCTTGACCTATCCCTGACCCTCAAATTAGTCGAAACTGATTTGAAAACTAAATGAAATATTTACACACACACACACACACAAATATATAGTAATAGTAGCTAGTCCTCAGAACTCAGGAAGAAAGTTTTTGAATTACTTTACATTTTAAAGGCAATATCATTCTTTGCAAATTTGTTAGTAAGAATCTGTCCTCCCCTTTTCAAATGCACAATGCAACCGAGTCAAATCTAGATTGTTTTAAAAATAAAACTCATTTCAGCAGGTACGCCAAGCACGAAAGGTTGTACCTTAATATCTGAAATATCCACAAAGGTCTCTCAAGCAGTAAAATCTGCTGTGACTTACAGGGTCCTGTCCTCATGGGCACTAAGATAGAGCACTTGCTGTATAGGCAAAACCTTCACAGATTTAAGAGAATCCAGAGGACAGAGAAATTCAACATTTTATAGATGCTAATCATAAAACCCAGTGCAGATGAATTTCTGGAGTTTGATTTTCTATTCTAAAGATAGAAGAATAAATGAGTTAAAGATTTCTGGAGTGATGAACTTCTAATTATCTTATTTATTTTCTTACCTAATTTCTTACTAATTATCAAATAGAGTTAATTCTTTAGTTCTATTAATAGTAGTTCCTCAACACAGTATAGCACTGTTTGCTGTCACTTAGAAGAACATATTTTAAATGTTAATTAAAATTTCTGAATTTATGTCAGTGAATGAGCCTGAGCACAATGTACCTTTTTGTGACCATAAATAATCTCTACTGATTACCTACGATAACAAAAGGGACTATTACACTGTTTCACTGTGTAACTGTCCCACCTAAAGAATATCTAACTCTCTAGCAGTACACACATTTGTTTTCTTTTACCATTATTAGGATATGCAGATACTCCAGAAAGACAAACTTAGCTTACCAAGAATTTTGAGTAACACAGATGATTCTTATTGTAAAATATCAAACAAATTTTTCCAGTATAAATGTAAACAGTTTCTATCAACTGTGATCTGAGGGTTATAATTTATTGTATTGGGAGACAGTAACTCATTTTTGGATACGATTCAAAAATCTAAGTGCTACATACTGCAAGTAAATACTTCTAATAGTTCTATACCTTTGTAAACCAATTTTATCATCTCAAGCTTCTCTCATTATGAAAATTATTAACCATTAATGAAGTAATACAATCTCTGGCATGTATTCATTCTACAAGGAAAACCTATGCTTGATAGAGAATAGGAAAACACAGTGGCTTACTCTCATTCATTAATGGAACTTTCAAAAGTTACCTCATTTTTAGTATATCTCAGTTACTTTGCTCATTGGTGAGACAAAAATATGCAACACCCACAAGGTTAAGGGACGAATGGTTTATTTAGCTCACAGTTTGTAGAGGTTTCATAATCAGCTGGCTCCAATGCAGGGTGGCATGGCAGACAGGCATCACGAAGGGTAACAATTCATGGCGTGCAGAAGGTAGCAAAGCAAATAAACAAGGGATAAGACAAGCCTCTTTTGGATTCTTATACTGAATCCAGGCTACTAGGATTAGGGTGATAAAGAATCAATCAATAGACTTATTTAGTAATCACTCAACCGTAAACCTTAACATTGTCCCAGAAATCAATCACATGCCCTAAATTCAGCCACCTGTGAAAAAGCCCCACCTATGACTGCATGAGGCTTTGAGGGGACATCTAGATACAAGCCATAACCCAGTATTATTGATTTCAAGCATTAATTCATTTAAAATGAAAAAGAATAATAGGTTTTGTTAGCTATGCGTAGTTTGGAGGTCTACAGTACATCCCTAATATATGAATGAGTTGCACTGCAGGGGGAACATTTTTAAGTCAGATTTGTTCCTAAGTCCAACACAGCGAGTCGTACACACCTTTGCTATAGTAGAGTATACATGCTAAGAAGGAAGCCACAAGCCATTTTGAGGTGTGTGTGAACACTGTGGAGAAAAGTTGGAGCATCACTGAGGCACCACTGAAGAGTTGTTTCAACTTCCTGGACAAGTGCTATATAGACAATTTCACTGCCTAATTCCCAATGAGTCATGATTTCACTGACTACTGTTATAATCAGTAATATGGGCCAATCAATGATAGAATAATAAAAATCAGTATTTCCCATCATCCTAAAAGAAAACTTTGTAAAATGTCAGGAAATTCAGTGACACCCCCAACTACTTTTAGCTTTTTTAAGAATTTATAGTTGTGAGAGCTCTGCAGAGCAACTCAACAAACATGGGGCTCCTGAAGTTCTTTAGACACTTATACATGCTCACCAATACTGACCAGGAAAAAGGCAGGATCACAGGAGAGGCCCTAGGAAGCAAGAGCAGTGGCCAGTGCATACACCTTGGGTGCCTATCTCCAAGGCTACCTGGTAGATGTCAGCCAACAAAATAGTGAGGTTAAGAGAAAGCTTACCAGTCGCTCCATCTCCTGTTCCCTGAGTCTTTCCTCCCTCTGCCGCCGGTGATAATCCATCAGGTCATCTCGTCCTGAAATGGAGCTAATGCTGCTTTTCCGTTCCCGAAGGACAGGCTGGGGGGTTCCTGAGGCCTGTCTGAGGCTGTCCAAATCAGCATCATCTAACTCCACAGAGCCACACGAGAAATTCCTCCTGGCTACAAACACTCTGTCTGGTTCTCCAGCAGAAAATGAGTGATTCGCACTTGTGCCCGAGTAGGAAACCCGATCAAAGTCATCAGAGGCACAGGAGGAGGTGGAGGCCAGAAGCATCTTCCGAGCGACTCGAGGACTTGCAGGAACGCTGAGGGTGGAACTTACATAAGGACTAACCTCCGACGCAGAGGTTTTATAGGGTAAAGCCCCTGAGCTTAGCGAAGAAAAATTAAGGTAATTATCATTGTCTACAATGCTATGAGGTAGATCCTTTTCCCCCAGTCTGGTTCTTTTGGAGTTACCCAGAGAGTTTCTCGGAGGCAAGCTGAGAGGCGTCAGCTGGTTCTCTGTGGCTTTGTACAACCTGGGAAGTGATCGGCTATAGGCTCCCATGTGACTTAGGCTGCCACCAGAGTACTTCCTAGTTCTTAAACTGACGTTTTCAGATGTTGGGTCTTTGTGTCTGGTTACCTTGGGTTGAAGAGTCAGGTTGTCCTGGATGCTCATCTTTCTGGCTTGCTTTGGGCTTGAAGGCATGCTTGCCGCCCCTGATCTGCTGCTGGGAGAGTGGCCAGAGTCACTAAGGGAACTTCCATTCCACATGGTCAAGAGTGAACCAGATGCCTTTCTCCCTTCTAGTCCTCCAAGAAAATACACACTGTCATGTGATTTATTTCTAGAGTTATATTTGGAATAAGGAAGCTTCTCTGAGAGTCTCAAGGACCTTTCACTATCCCGACCAGTATAATGATCAAAATCTGCTCTCCCAAGTGGATATCCACCAACGGAGGACACAGTGTTGAGTGATGGAGTGGGAGGTTTCATGGAAATATTTTTGTCAGTTCCATCACAGAACTGCTTGCTTCCATGGATTTTGGCTAAAGAGGGGCTGCTTCTGACACTGGTACCCAAAGGGGAAGGGCTTCTCTTAGCAGGCACAGGTTGTGAGAGGGTTAAATAGGAGCCAGAATAGTCTCCGTTGGCTTTAAACTTCAGACTGGAGGAGTATTTCTTTGAGTTTAGGCTCTCCATCATGTCTGGGGGATGGTTCTCCAGGGAATTAACCACAAAGCCTTCCTCTAAACTACCATTTTGTAAATTCAGCTGTTTTTGCATGTGGCTACACTCTGCCATAATCTTGCAGGGATCTGTAAAGAAAAAAAAAAACACTTTTATTTAGCAAAAAAGATTTGACATGAACATCACTTACGAGTCCACATCTGAACAGCCAGCCTTGGAATCTGACCTAATGCAACTGACAAACACCAACCGCTTTTCTAATAAAATTGTGCTGGAAGCTAAGGATTAAGGATATACTGATCAGGTATATATTTTGCACAAAAGAAAAATAACTTGAGAAGATAGCAATGATGTGTGAGGGAAAAAAATCTCTAACAAGTAATACCCTGAAATTTGACTGGTGCATTAAAACACATACACACACACACACACACACACACACACACACACACATGCGCGGGCGCACGGACGCACGCATGCATGCAAACACCACAATTTCCCTTCACTGTTCTTGTCCTTGGAGAACCAAGTAGTGTTTCCTGAGAACCTAACTAGTGAATGTCTAAAAGGCTTTCCCTCTAGATCACTGTTAGAATCATTAGCTGCCAGAAATAGTCCAAAGGAGATAAATTCACATTTTGACAGAGTAAGACAATGTTATGCTAGACACTGATCAATAGTACGAGGATTAGAAAATTCTTTAAAAAGTTGCTGTGGGCTGGGAATGGTGGCACACACCTATAAGAGTTTGAGACCAATCTGGGCTACAACGTGAGCTGAAGACCAGCCTGAACTATATAGTGAGACCCTGTTTCAAATATATTAAAAAAAAAAAATAAGGTGGGGTGTGTGGGAGTTATATTCTTAACAAGATTTAAAATTCCTGTGGTTCAACAGAAAGCATAGTTAAAAACCTGAAAGTGTTTTATTTTTCAAATTCCCTAGTAGCCTAATGTACTGAACTTGTTACTGACACTGTACCAAATCTAGTCTTCTACCTGAAACTCAAAACCTTTAGTTGGATGGATTCATGCACACTGTGTGTGTGTGTGTGTGTGTGTGTGTGTGTGTGTGTGTGTGTTTATGTACACCTTAAAGGGGGGGCGGGGTTTCCATTAGATTTGGTTTCCAGCTAGGATGAGGCCCTGCCTCTCCTCTTGCCAAGTCTTTGTTCCTCAGGACCAGTATCCTCTTTGCCCTTAAGACAATGTCCCTTTCGCCACTGGTCTACTAATTCCAGTTCTGAACTTGCAAGTAATACCAGCCTAGTTTGAGACACATTCGACATGCTCCCGTGGAGCACTGGAACACGATCAGCCACTAGTCTGCGTCCTTTCTCTTCTGAACTCATTTCATCTCCAGTTGGTTTATCATACTGAAATCCCTACAAGCATTAGCCAGTTCTCCTGAGCTCAGTATTTCAGGGCTGAGGAAGCAAGGAAATAGATGGATCCTGAGGACATTACAATGTTACTTATTATAATGGATTAGACACTCTAAACAGGAAAGTAGGAAAAAAAAGTAGGAAAAAAATTAAATAAGTCATATCATATCACACGAGTTACTACACAATTATGTTTACGAAATGTAAAATGTAAAGTATACAATATAGTCACATAACATGCATTTCTAAAACATATACTAATTTATTATGCAAATATTTGAAGACCAACATTTTTTAACTCTGCTGACTCTAAGAATGTTAATCACACTAATTTATCTATTGTATAACTTATGCATAGGGAAAACTAAAACATCAAATATGAATAAAGCTAACAAAATGGTTACCCAAAGTCTCCAGATGTTTGTTGAACTAGCTTAGATAATACAGTATCTTCATTTTTAAAAATGCATTTACTAGAATATTTTAGTTGAAATAGTTCTGTTTACTGCATAAAAAATAATAAATATCTCAAGAGACAGTTTTGGATACTTTATTCATTAAGTAAGTATTAAGTACCATGTAACAGACATCTACTTAGCAGGCATTAGTGTTAGTCATTAATATTCCAGGTCTTCTTCTTTCAAGAACATGGTAGGTAGCTTCTCCTAATCCTCATGATGATACATGTGGCTATGTCACTTGTTCTGATCAAGGCAATATTAGAGAAAATGCTTGCCAGCTCCCAGCTAAAACATCAACAGGCAGAGCACAATTCACTATTTCCCTTTCTCTTGCTAAGACTCCATCGAAGGAGCTTTGTTAGCCTGTCCTCCAAAAGGAGGACAACTCTGGCCCCTGCCAACCTGTCTTCAGCCACTGAGATTTGGGGTTGTTGTTGTCATTATTGTTACACTGAAGATGCTAATCTTCACTACATGCCTGCCAAACTCTGAGCCAGACACTGGGAGGTAGGTGGTACAAGATATTATTTCCCGTCTCTATGGTTTATCCTCCAAAGATAAAGACACACAGAGGAGTAAACAATCACTACAGAAGTCTCAACGGGAGACTGAATGACAGACGGGTAAAGGAATATCACTAACCAGTAAGTTACCGTAGAAAGAAATGATAATGAAGACAAATCCCACTGAAGGAAAGGGAGTCTGACAGAAACAATCCATTTTAGCATAAAGTCACTTTCACATGTAAAATTTTGTGAGTCTAAGAACATAAACAAACTCCCAAGCCCACTTTGTGTCAGGCCACTGGTATTTTCAAACATTCCATCTCTGACAGAATTAAATATAAAAATTAAATTGGAAAAAAACAAGCTATTTTCTGTCTCATGGATCTTAAAAATGTAAGGATTAACTCTCCTTGGGTGAACTGTACTTAAAAACCATGTGTTTCACTCTCATATTATCCTTTTTCCATCTAGAGAAAATGTCCTAGGTTCAACCCATATCCACTTCTAAGAGTGGTTTAAGTTGGATAGCAATCCTTCTAGCTTTCAGAACATTTTAGGCAAGGGTAAAACAAAATACATAAATAAGATGTTAGAATAGACAAGAAAAGAATTAATGCTGGTTAGTAAAAAGGCTATGGTTTAGGGATAATATATACAAAATTGGAAGGAGAACTCAGTGAAACAGAAAAGGCATTCCCACAAGTGCAGACACAGCAGTCCCCAGAGCAGGCCAGAGCAGATGTCATTAAACAAAAGTCAAAATCTAAGCAATGCCCAAACCCTGCACTTTAAATACTTACTCCACCAGTACAGAACTGAAGGCTTTAACATACCCTGTCAAAATGGACATTAAAAATTAACCTTTGATGCAGCAACATAAGATATCTCTGTCATTATAGCTAATAAAGTATATTTGAACCTATTCGCAGTTGCAAATGCTACTTAATCACCCACACGAAGTATACTACCAAGCTCTGTACTCTTTTCATTTGGGCTAATAAAGTTATAAAACATTAACAGAATCTCTACTATTTCTCCTCCACATACATAAACAAATAAGTTTTAATTTTAAAAAGTATGATTACTGAAACAGATTGACCAAACAAAACGCAATACCAAAATAGTCCAAATTAGCACAGGCTGGAAGAAGATGAGCTCTACAGTCTCCAGTGAAGAAACAGGCAGGACACTTACAAATAGTAAGCCATGAGAAATAGCCAAGTGACATTTTTCAACCATGTATCTTTGTAGAGGAAAGTGACCAGGGACAGGAGGACATACCAAAGATTTAAAGAGTCGTCACTCATGTTTGATAACTCAGTTTTCCAGTTCAAGTTTACTGGATCCACTAAGGATAGTCAAACAATTGTCCATTTAAAGATTTTTCACCAAGTACCGACACAGAATGTACTCCTCTGCCGCTCAATTTATCTGCCTTATGAATGCAGTTGAATGCAGATATATAATTATCTCAGCTTGATATCTTTTAATCCTGCAAATCAATTCAACCCCAAATGTAGAGAACCTGGCAGGTGGTTGTGCTGACCCTGTGAGTAACATCAGAGGCTCCTGCTATCTCTCCCCTTTTCCATTTTTTTAATTTGCACTATGATAGAATGAGTAGAGGCCTACAAATGGGAAACACCTAGGAAATGCAGGTTAGTAACCTGTTAACAGTCTACTGTGAATGAGGATTGGGGTGTGGACAAGGGGAGGAGAGGCAGGTTAGTAACCTGTTAACAGTCTACTGTGAATGAGGATTGGGGTGTGGACAAGGGGAGGAGAGGCAGGAGGTGGAGAACGCTGAGGAATAGCTGGAATTTAGTCCCTCAGGCGAAGATCACAGGCAGACCTCACCAGACACTGCTTTTGAGTTTAGAAGGGTGGCATAGTGGGGAGTGCTGGGAACCGTAGAGGACTTGCCAGGGTGACAAAGAGCAAAGAAAGGAGAAAGGTGGAGAACAGAAGTTCCTACTAACACATATAAGAGAGGGGAGAAGACAGCCTGTCCTCAAGACACAAACTGTTGTGTCTACCTTGGATTTCCTGAACATTTTATGTCAATGAAGAAGAGGTCTCAGTGAAACTGTAAGATTCCTGTATTATGTTACTGTGGAAGCACCACAGTCCCAAGAGATTTAATGGTGACATGCGTTATTATATACAAAATCTACAGAACGGTCTGGGAGAACAGAACAACGCATCTGGTGCCCATCTGAGAGAAAAGACAACACGGGGAAATCTAAACAGGAAAGACGTTAATGTATGTTGAAACATTTGGGTTTACTTTCCCATCCACAAATGTAATCCCTCCGGTGTTCTGGTTACTTTATCACCTGAAATGTACATCATTTTCTTGTCAATCAGGAAACTCCAGGAGTCACGAAGAGACCTCTGAAAGGTACCAAAGAAAGTCACAGAACATTTCCCCTGGAAAAGAAAATTACTTGAAAAACCAATCTCAGAGGTTATTTGATTCTCTTCTCTTTGACACAATTCTGGCCTTTGTTTTAAAATGTAATTCTCCAGTTCCATTTGCACCTAATAACAACATAATGAAGCTCATCCTATTCATACTATACGTGTCCAACAGTGAATTTACAAGTCTGCAATTGCCACAGCTGTGAGGATTTCAGGTTCAAGAAAATGAAAACTTGCTCAAGGAGCAAAGTTTTTAAAGAAAAGTTTTTATAAAACAAACAAATTAAAACACAGTATCTATTATGTTGTATTAGAGAAGAGAGACGAAGTCTGGCCTACACAAATGCAACTGTCTA